TGAATTGGTGTTCAGCAGCAGAATACAAGGTGACAACGAGTCCATAACATCATATGGAGCTTATGTTGATAAGCTGAGGGAAAATTTACAACAGGCACATGCATTAGCACGGAGGCACCTTAGAAGGGCCGCTGAGCGAAGCAAGGAGATCTACGATGCAAGGGACATGATCAACAAATATAAGGAAGGCGACCTTGTTTGGATTCTACAGGAGTTAAGGAAAGCAGGGTCGGCGCCAAAGTTAGGGTGGAACTACAAGGGACCTTTCATAGTGACCTGATGCCTACCAGATGGACCAGGATGGCTACAAGAGGGTAGTAAATCATGACAAGATGAAGCCATATGAGAGAAAAAACAACCCAAATTGGACAGTAAAACTACAGAAGAAACTTAAAAAATATTAATCTGAAAACATTTACATATATACATACAATACGTGTACAGATTTATATGTATAATAAAGATATTTGTACTTTTGTTGTGTTTTTATGTCTTTTGTATTAAACTAGGCGTTACACTAGGTCTCAGCAGTTTTAAGGGAGTACCAACAGATGGTGAAAACAGATCTAGGATAAAGTGCTTGATATAGTATTGGACCAGTGAAGACTTTCGCCCAGTCGGCGGCTACCTGTGTTATATTTTTATTTCAAGTCGTGGTAATGCGATAACGTAATAATTTTGAATCAGCTATGGAACCGCGTAAGTTTGTCGTCCATGGGGCAATTCGACAGTGTGACCGACAATGCTGAAGAAGATATTCGAGCATTATAGTAAATCCGCATGGGATTTGTATTAATCTATTTTATTTATTTTCAGATGACAGATTGTATGGTTCTGGCAGCTAAGAAGAGAGGACGGGCCTACAGATGTCTCCATTGTCCTAGGCTTGGGCGTCCTGACTGTATCGTAGAGAGAGGTCGCATTGAGTCCCATATCTACAAGCATCACATCCAGTTTGAACGTGTACTATATAGCTGCAGCCAGTGCATGTTTCCTTGTACATTCACAGAATCTTAGGACTACACTTGCGACACTGGTGAAGAAGAGCTCGGATCTGATGAATAGGTCAGTAGACAGAGTGGAGGATATGGTGAGGGGATTGACAGACACACTAAAGGGAGTTGCTGAAAAAATGGAGGTTTTTAGTAACAGTTTGGGAAAATGTAGGTGCAGAGGAGGTGCAGAGCATTCAGGTGATGGAATGGCTAGAGAGGGAGTGCGGAGCAAGATTACAGGAGAGGGTAATGAGGGGAGAGATAGGGGCAGAAGCAGGAGCAAGAACGAAGCAGTAGATGATAGGATAGGAAGCAGCAAGAGTCTGGATTGGAGAGGAGGACAGGGCGACAGAACAGGTAGGAGCAGGAGAGGAGATCGGGATGAACGGAAGCTAGAAAACGTCAAGGAGCATAGGGTGGAAAGAATCAACTGGAGGAGTAGAAGTAGGCGCGGTGAACGGATACGCAGAGAGCGCGAGGGAGTAATACAAGGTCAGCAAGGATATTGTAGTAAGGGCGGTGGTGAACAGAATTATAGGTGAAAGGGGGGAACAGAGATACAAAACGAGACGTGCATAATATTGTTTTATTCAACGAGGTCAGTAAATTTAGTATTGAATCTACACGAATATGATATTCTATTTATCACATTAATAAAATAGAACGGTAAACTGTTAAAAAGAGTAATTTTTCAATGACGCGCCCATAGTGTAACGCTAACATTAGCGCGAGTTAACACTTTTGCTCGTGTCTCTTGTTGTTTCTCGTCTACGGTAAGTATCTTCCCTTTGTCCCTAGTTTTTATTCATTTTATTCCCCCCCTTCCCCGTGTCTCATATCCCCTTCCCCTGTGCCTTTTTTTGACATTATGGGCCTTATATTAAATCATTTATTTGTTTTGTTTTATTTCCTTATAAGTTACTAATTATGTATTCTGATGAAGTGGTTTGCCTGCCCGTACTCTGCCTTGTGCCCTGTCCTGTTTTTCTTTGGGGTCATCCTGGGCTCCTTGCCGCTGGCGCTTGTTGCTGGGTCGGGTGGGACTGCGTTCATTGAATGCCGCCTTTCCTTGTCGATCTTGTTTATCATATTTTAACGCTATGTTTATATATAGCGCAAATGACGTCACGTCAAAGTGTTATTACACTAGTGTACTATCGTTTTTATTACATGGCTTTATTACACTCCTGCGCCGCGGTTTATGTGATAACATATTTTATGACAGAACTTATATGAAAGAGATATATTATACATGTAATCGCCTTTTGGTCTTTAAAAAATACTTATAATTTTATCTTTTTTTCTAGGACTTTTTTCTTTATAGGAAGTTATCAATCAAAACATAATATAACATTGTTCAAGCAAACATGAATTGCCTTAACTTGGATTTGAACTCCAGACCTCTCGATTCCTAAGCGAGCGTGCAAACCCCTCGGGAACGGTGAAGTTATATGTTAACGGCCTGAAGAAAACCATATTATTCTAATTTAGGGTTTGTAACTTATTATTTAGACGCTAAACCTGTTGTTTAACACAGATGTACATAATCATGGAGCTTACTATAAGCATGTATATCTATAAAGAATAAAAAAATATTAGAAATCTTCAACCATTCAGGAATTATTTTGCTTGAAAATTAATGCGCCTGTCATTTGACAATCTTTACGCAGTGATATGCCCTGAATTTTTCGGCGTTAGTGTACATAAAAAGGGAAATAACCGCTTCAAAAGAGCGGACTACTTTCGGCATTTGCAATTAACAGCATCAGAGTCTGAAATTTTGCTATCATTATTTGTTTGGTCTAACGACCCAAACAAATGAAAACGGTAATTGTTTCGATACTCTCTCTTGAAGTTAATTTCAACTGCCGTGAAAATGATATTTCCTTTTAGATATTTTATTTTCCTACATTTGGACGTTAAAACATGAATTTGCTTAAGCACATTTATTTTCAGATATAAACGCTGCATATATTGTTGTTCCAGTCGTTGTATGTGTTATTGCATTGTTATTAGGAGTTGTTATCTTATGGTGGATGTAAGTATTGTCTTAAATTTATAAATTGATGTATAATTAGATAACTTTTCATTTATTAATTTATCCATTATATCATCAAACAATTAATTATTTTAAAATTAGAAACTCCGTTTTCGGCCAATATAGAATATTTCGGACCTGAGAAAAGATATAACAACCGAGATTCCTCCACAGGACCTCGATCGATATAGCTTTTCTGCGGTTTGATACAATGTATATTAACCAATTGCTTTATCGTGTATACCACTAGTTATATCACGGGATGCGTTAATCTTAGTTTCTAAAGACCTAAATAACCGTCATAATTCTAGCCTATAACAATTATGAACGATAAACGACATTATGCATCTATAGATGTTGAGGTTTATCTATTGTTTATTGGTGAAATGTATAAGTTTACCGTCATAACTTTTATTGATGTTTTTAAGAATAGCATGCTGTAAATGCATCTTTTTTCGCTTTCAGGGACGGTATCCGATATAAAGTTCTATAAATAACTTATATTATTCGATAAAAATAATTGTACAAATTGACCACACAGAATTAACAAGTTATGGTCAAAAGTAATTTTAGCGCTAAATATGCGTTTATCAATGTTTGATGTCATATCTAATTTATATGTCGTAAACATAGGAACGTACATGTATGTTTATTTCAGTCCTTAAAATTTTATTTTTATTTGAATTCCATATTATTCTTTTGAGGAAAGCTATTTATTTTATCTTAAAACTGAATTTTAATACTCGAGGCCATCTCAATTCAAGATAGGACATATAACACATAGTTTGCCTTTCTAAAACTCTAAAAATATGGAAATATTCATAGTTAAAGAATTCTGTTAAGCCAACAGCACTTTATATAATGTTTATTTCTTTTACAATTCCGAAATTGAAGTGACTGCTGTGCAGTAGTTTACCTGTTTATAAATATTATTTTAAATTTCTTTATGTGAATGGAAATTCGTCTTATTTCGATTCAGCGGAAATAAAGTAACTGGCTACAGTAAACTTTGAATAACGTGATTAATTAGAATTTTGGTTTAATGTACAATACATCAGCTCATTCAAATAATATTATTTTCAGGCAAAAAAGGCAAAATAGGAAAGGTTAAGGAGTGAAAACAGAGAGCTGCAGGAAGTACGATTTTATCTTACAATACATACATGTATATACAAATGGTAAATGTTCATAATTTACGAGAAGGAAATGAATTCTGTACATGTATTCAGTTTAAGTGTCTTGTTATAGATTAGTGAGTGGGTTCAGAAAACCGGTCTGATTTGGGGCATCGCTATATCTTCAATAATTATTATCTAGATACAACTTTGATTGCATGTATAATAATTATGGAGTACTATTGTTATCATTTTATGCTGTAAAAACTTCCCTATTTGCAATCATTACACTCTAAAGATGTAAATAAAAATAAAAGCATCTGCGACAGGAACATATATCCTTCTTACGAAATAGCAAACATGTGTTTAAGAATGTTATAATAATGGAATAAGAAGAATATTGCATTTGTAACACTTGGATAAAGTAGCGCTTGAAGTGAAATAATTTGTCAAGAAAATAGCAAAGTATAAAGAATTTAAAGCGATATTTTGACTTCGATTAAAAATACTAAAAAGCTTTTGCTATACTTATTGCAAAAATGCTAAAGCAACAAAAGTATGATAAAGAAAATAAATAAAAAGTTGAAGAAATTATTTGTACGATATATAATATGTCTGATAATGATTGCTTTTTTCTATGTTCTCGTACAAAACGAGGGCCTATGCTCGGCCAAATAAGTCGTTCAGATACGATCACCATTTTTCATTGCTATGTATCTGTTCGTACGTGCGGCTGTGCGTCCATGTGTGTGTGTGTGTGTGTGCGTGCGTGCGTGCATGTGTGTCTGTGTGTTTCGACAATAACACGTTTTGCCTTTTTTCATATTTTTTCAGAAAAGGAATGCACTTCAAATATAACGTCATCGACTACAGTTTCTTCTGAAACACTGCCTTCAGTTTCGTCAACAGGTACGCTCTGTCTCAGAAAAACAAAAAAAAACAAAAAACAAAAACCAACAACACTAAAAGAAACCGCGGTAGGGCTCGAATCCACAAATTCTGGGATATCATGCAACCACATTACTCACTATCCAATCGCTCCTCTCATTTTGTATAATAAATAAAGCAATAGTGGTCTGCTTTTTGAAGAAAAAAACACAAGTTTTCTGACACGATTTAATCAACAAAATTTTTGATTTACCTTAAATGGTTATAGCGCACCGATTTTGTATGTTTAAAATCTTTTTAATATGTAACAGAATTATAATTAAACGTTGAACCACTTCCAACAATATATTGTTTATCGTGACGATATTTTACATGATGAATATAGTAAATGAACATTATGTTTTATATTTGTGCATTGTTTTAGAATACTCTGTCGTAAACCCTTCTACAACGGAAAGTAGTCCCGCCTATGACTGCGATTATGACAACAGAAAGAGCTATTGATAGAGTTACATTTTGTATTTAATCCTGAATTTGCTGAATTTGTGTGATTGATTTGCCTCGATTTAAGTTTGGAACCGTCAATTTAAATCTTAAAGGAATTTAGTATCAAAATATACATAATTATGTATAGAGTCTGAGGGATGAAGACTAGCTTCGATTTATACTGGTGGTAACGGCTAGTCATTATAAGATATTATAGCATGATAATATAAACTATTTGTCAAAAAGTGACCCCTCGGAATAATTACAAACAGCAAAATTACATGAAAATTGCAGAATCGGTTGATGATATTATTGTGAAATGGCTTAATTTAACGTAATTAATTTTATTTAGAATCTCCCTCAATACTATATGCATTTACGTAACTATATATCATCTCAAACATATTCAAAATTCAAATTATTAATTGTTGATTAAGAATCACATACTGCAAACACCGCTTGAATATCTTTCCATGTAGGCACAAAATATAATTTACCAAATTTTAGTTTGATAAATACAAAGAAGTTAGACAAAATAATAATGCTCAGTGTGTAGAGAGGTAAATGATCTTTACACATAAAACGAAAACTGTCAAAATACTTATTCGTTATTAATGATATATTAATATGTTAAATGCAACCTTTTATTGTACGATTTAATATTGAAGTATGCTTAAGCCGGTGCTAGGGGGGCGGTAATGAACAGGCTCAATCAAACCGAGTCTGCAACATTTTCAATTTTGACGTGTTTCTTTATGGTTTTTTTTTCTCTTTTTTACAATGACTGCTCCGCAAATTCCACAGAAAATATCGGGTATGTTTTTATGCAAAAATCAAGTCTTTGTATTGATGATACTATTGATACTAAATGGTACATATATGATTAAAACTTTCACGATCCCCGTTTAGATGCATAAATGATACTTTAGGATGAAGATATAAAAAGAGTTCTAGTATTTTAATACAAATAATAACAGCTATAACTTTTCGGAAAGACAAACACTTTCAAAAGTGAATGGTCATTCAGTTCTATTTCTAGATTATGGGTTTTAGTCATATCATGTAATATATTATATTAGGAATATTCATTTGTTTAAAACGCTTTCGTAAGTCATTTTTTCGTGTGTTCGTGGCCGAGTGGTTTATGTCGTTGACTTCAAACCACTCGGCCCTCACTCCAGTGAGGTTAAATCCAAACTGACACTTTAGATAATCCAACTTGCGAAACACCAGTGGTTTCTGCTGAAATAATGCATAAAAGGGCACTTGAGGTATTCTACCACCAGTAAAACTGGAAAGTCGCTATATGACCCATACTGAATAAAAAATCACAAAAAAAGATATACAAAAAAAAGCACAAAAAACAACAACAAAAACACAACATAGTCATTTTTCAGAACATGTAATCGGATAATTACATTTTAAACGTTTTGAAGATTTACTTGGCATTTTTATAATGACATTCATACATTTATTTGATATTCTGGTAATTATCTTTCTGTGCACAATGCAGTTATAATACCCGATATAAAACATAGTCAAAAGTAAGCTTTGTTTTCATACAATCTAACTTCATCATAATCAAATTTATAGTTTTATATTTAGATACATTCAAGAATTACTAATGATTTTGATTGCAAATATTCTCCTGCTTAGCTAAACAGGGATAGTATTGGATTAGGGGTCGCTAGTGAGGCGAAATTACTATGTTGGTGCAACGTAACCAACCCCCTCCCCCACCCCCAAAAATATTTCATAAAACAAAAATCAATTTACCTACAAAGAATTATGGTAAGAGATCAATCATATTCACTTTGACCTGATATTATCTATAGCGCTTTCTTTAGGAAGACGGAGGTGTCAAACAATATTTGGCATAGTGCTACATCAAAGACTCATAAAGGAAATGCACCCAATGTTTGAATAGAATATCCACAATATTCGTATACGAAATGCACTATATGTGGTATTAATCTAAAAATACCTTGATTAAAATTAACTGAATTACTTTTCCAGAGGTAAACGCTGTATACATTGCCGCTCTAGTTGCCTCTTGTCTTGTTGTTTTGATGGTGCTGCTTTTATTTCTTTGGTGGCGGTAAGTGTTACATAAGAGGTTCATATCAAATAGAATAGAATATAAATATGAAACTTTACATACTTCTAAAGATTATTAAATATTAAACACAAATTATTTGATATTATCACACCTGCAGCAATTCGACTAAATAGTTGTTATTGATGGGATATCTATTTTACGCATTGGAATAATTCCTGTAATCAACTATATTATAACATCTGTTCCAGGTTGTTTATATTACAGACATAACAAATGTAATCTCTCTTGTACGCTGCGCACACTTAGGAAACGAGACCCGGGTACATTGATTAAAAGTAAGACGTACAAAGCAAGCGGTATAGATCGACATAGGTCCATGGATGATATACGCCAGTCTGAAGTTAATGAGTATGCAGAAATATCTTAAGATAACATGAATACTGACAATTCCAGGGGACATGATTATCAAGAAATAAAGGAAACAAATGATGATAAAACTGACAGAAACAAATCGTATTATCAGATAGGGACTTCGTTGATACGAATGATACGAACTACTCTCATATAGATATTGGAAGGGGAGCAAATAGCATACATTTCGATAAAACATACGCACATACAAACGCAGTTGATGCGTCAAATAAACCTGAAATGAGCTGGAAGGATAATTTCGAGACATACAACAAGTTGAACACTGTGAAACTGACAAAGAAATAGAGTCCAAAGCGGCGAAGACACTGACACAGAGTATAACCATGCTCATTCTGGAGGTCAAGATCCCAAATATGAAAATAACAATTATTCGCATCTGGCTTGTGAAGCTAATTAAATGACACAGATAATAAGATAGAAATAGTCCATATATATGTATGTGGTGATACTTCATATGACAATTTAGGACGAATTCTTTGCTTAATTTGTTTCGATATTTCGATTTTCGTTGTTTTTAAATAAACAGTTGAATTTTGTAAAGTGGCAAGATAATGATATATTGTCCACTTCTGTCGGATTTCACTAAAGGATTATCTATTAGTGTTCACTTCCTTGTAATTTATCATGACAAACATACTTTAGGTTTTATCATGCAAGAATTAAGTGGGAGGACACAAATACGATTTTTAATTAACATAACCGGATCTCATTTCTACTTCCTTAAAGTATGTTTACTTCATATTTGTGCATGGATATCAGTTTTATAATATGATATGGATAAGATACATATCATTTTGTGTATTCTTTTTCATTTCCATGGTATGTTAATTTGCATAATCAGTTTAAATCAAACAAGTCTATTATTGTTTATAATTTATTTTAATAATCTTTATATTTAACGTTTTGAATAGTCTAGTGAGAGGCGATCAGGCAAAACTATTATTGTGATAAATAGTAAACATATATAATTGTTGTTTGACTTTTTCTCAAATCAATATAAGTATTATAATTTTTATAAGTTTAGAAACAATAATTTTGCCCAATATTTTTCAGGAATCATTTACGGAGGTATAGAAAGAGATCTTACTGATTGTCAACGGGGGCCCAAATATGAACCCTGTGGTATGATTGATTTTTTTTCTTTAAATTGAAATGGAATCTCATCCTGATTTAAAAGGTTCAACACAGTCATCTTTTAACAAAATAATATGCTTAATTTGCCGTTCTGATGGATATCATGTATTTCCTCATTTTCAATACGTGATAGCATATCAAGTGTTTTTTCCCTTCTTTATCACATATAAATCAATGACACAGGATATATTTTCCTTACTTTTAGAATGTAATTTTCAACAACTTTTTTCTATTTTACAGTATGTTATGGAATTACAACACCCATTTCTCCTTATTTGCATCATATAACGATAGACCCCTGACTACTCATAGTTTGCAATGTGTAATAATAATTCGTCGGTAAACAATCTACTGGCTAACCACATGCATGCACTTCTTCCTCGAAGTATACATACGATATATATTTTTTTTCAAATTAACTGCTGTTTCTCCATAGATGCGGCATCTCATGATTAACCACATATATTTACTTTATTTGTACTTTGCAATAATGAGTATAATGTTTTCTCACTAACCAGATAGAAAAATCCTTAAATGTTACTAAAATAGCGGTGTTGGAAAATCTTATCTCACATGGGCTTATCTCACACTCAACGTGCAGCACTTCTAAATAATACGCGATTCACTCCTATTTTAATAAAAATGAAACGTCAAAAGGTCAAAATGTATTAAATATTTGTGAGCTAATCTATTAAATTGTCTACGGAATCAAAATAGATTGATATTAACTTTCACACTGCAATGAGTCCTACTCTACCTAGATCCGCCCTTTTCAATAACGATCTGTTACTAAAAATAGCACACTTTAAAATATCGAAAAATTCTTCGTAAAATCGGATATTATGACACTTTGCCTGAAAAACATTCATGTTTTTTGTTATGATAACGATGCTTCTTGATTACGAATCTCTTTTTGATATATTTTAATTGAATATTCGGCCAAAATAACCGAAAAGTAGAAAAATCTTTGCAAACGGTAAACGCTTTTTTGTCAACCATTGAAGTATGGACTGAAGTCCTTATATAAACAGTAATATTATGGCACTTTCCGTTTTTAATATCGATGTGTTTTATCATGATAACCTTGCTTTTTGATGAGGGATCTTATATGAATTTATTCTCATTAAATTTTTCACACATAATCTTGGTCAGAAGAAGTTTTTGCGGACGTACATAATGCTTTTTAATCCTAAGCCCCGCCCCCTTTTCAAAACTAGGTACGTTGTACATAATGCGCGTAGCAAGTAGATTCACTGATATTTGTGTGTCCAGGTGAGTGAGAAAAATAATCAACCATTGGGTTTGATAGAGGATAGGGAAATCCCAACCCTCGGGCAATCGGTTCCATCGGGAACTCGCCAAGGCTCGTTCCCGATGGAACCGATCACCCTCGGGTTGGGATTTCCCTATCCTCTATCAAACCCAATGATAGATTCTATTATTCTCCATATTTGCATTATGGAATGATTAACAACATTTGGTTTGTTTGTGTTACATCTGACATCATATGACGTCATTCATTCCGCGAAATCGCGATAATAAATCTTTATACAATCAACTCAAGCGATACACGTTTGATTTGCAGCGTGTAATGACCTATAATCCATTTCTTGATTGATGCATTATGTTAACATATACCAGCTGAACCTCTTTGTTTTCATATGTTATAATGTCCTTGCTAGATCCATTGCTCTGTGTTTTCAGTACGTAATCATGTACAAACAATTTCTTTGTTTACATATGTTATGATGTACTCTGGCTTGTTTTCTGTTTTCAGTATGTAAAAATGTACAGGTGATTTCTCTTGGCGTGCAATTTGTAATTTTGTCTTAAAAATTTCTCTTGGCTTGTAATTAGTAATTTTGTCCTGAAAATATCTTTCGGCTTGCAATTTATAACTGTTGCCTGAATGTTTCTCATGACTTGCAATTTGTGATTTTGTCCTGAAACCTTCCCCTTGCTTGCAATTTGTAATATTATTGTGTCCTAACTATTTCTCTTGGTCTGCAATATGTACTTGTGCCCTGAAAATTTGTCTTTGCTTGCGATATGTAATTTCAGTACTGGCAATTTCTTTTGACTTGAAATATGTAATTGTATCCTGACAATTTCACTTGACTTGTAATATGTAAATGATAGACAGGCGATATCTCTTCGTATTTAGTACTTTACAATTTACTGGTAACCAGTATGCAATGATTTACTGGCAATTAATATTTTGAAATATACGTAATTATGATACTGTCCATTTCCCTTGTTGCAGTATGTAATGTTGAAATGGCATGTTCTCTTTGTTGCAGCTCATAATGTTAAAATGGCATTTTCTCTTTACTAGCAGAATGTGATGTTGAAAAAGTTATTTCTCTTGACTTGCAGGATGTTTTGAGTTGTCTTTGTTGCATCATGTAATGCTAAATTGACGAATTCGTTTTGTTATCAGTATGCAATATTGACATGGCAATTTCTTTATGTTGCAGTATGTAACATTACACTAGTAGTTTCTCCTTTCTTGCAGCGTGATGTACCGGCTGTTTGTTTTCGATTTCAATATGGTCATTTTTGTTTGCTTTTAGTGTGTAATGATGTACCGGTTTATCCTCCGTTTGGCTCTACTGAGTTTGTGGATCAGACACAAGGAACATATAAATGTGAGAAAGGCTACGCTTTAAAAGTCAATGCAATTATTCGATGTCTTAAGGGAAGGAAAAACAGATCAAATTATTGGAATGCATCCGAAAGTGCTTGTGCAGCTATAGGTAAAAAAGGTTATAAATAAGAAACAAACTCTACTTTCGATTTGCAATGGCTAAAAGTGATTGGAATTAATACAAAACTAACTGAACAAATAGAATAATGATTGGTTAAGGGGCGCCAAAGAAAAATATTAATCCCGACAATTCGCACTGTCACTAGCTATATGTAATTAACCATAAGATATTTTATAGTTACCTCTATATTCACCCCTGTCATATATTATTTAATTCCATCATGGTGAAAGCCATTCCTAAGTTTGGGCACAACAGTTTGAGGGAAATACAATTAGTTTCAGGCGTCCATTAATATTTGTCTGCCAACTTACATGAAATAAAATGTAATGTATTAAATAAAAGTTATTATTAAAGAGATTTATAGATTTATGAAGCAACAGATCGGCTACGTGTAATTTGCAACATTATCTTTTTGAATTGTTAAGAAGAAAATTTCTAAAGTACATGTATAAAAAAGAATGTGTTTTTTGTCTGTTTAAAATGTGATTCCTCAGTAACTTAAAATGTCCGCTATGTATTGGTATTTACTCTGATTTAAATGTCTTCCGCTCTCATTTACAGACGACTGTGATCCCTCCCCATGTTATAATGAAAATATATGCATTGATGGAATTGAGGACTATACATGTCTTTGTTTACCTGGATATACAGGCAAAAACTGTTCTGATAGTAAGTTTAATAATTATGAAACATAAGCAACTCTTTCGTTATTTGTCAGAAAGCGTACAATCATTCTGTCTAAAATTTAAAATGAATAATTTTACAGTTTTTATATTTCTCATTTCAATAAGTATCAGGCTTCTATAGAAGCTTATAGTTAAAGGTGTTAATCATTTTTATTTTATGTCCTTATGCAACTTTTTTATCTTGTTATTTTTTCACTCTAACTTCTGTTTTATTTTCGTGCATAGATGTAGCTCAATAGATTGAAATGGTGTAAACACATTCATTACATGTCGGTCTTTCTTTAAAAGTGCATTTAACAGATTAAGTCACTGTAGATCTGTATTTCATTTTCCCCATACATCTGTGATATGTAATTTTGTATTAAATAAAAAGTACAAATAAACAACATTGGCACGATATGTGTGAGTAATAGGAATTAAAAATGCATGTATATACTTTAATATATATAATACATAAAACATCATTGTTTTCTGAGTGTATTATTGCGACTCATCCGCATGATCATAATGATAATTATTAAACAGTGACACTTTTTCACCTTTCAATAATTTGTTGATATTTCTTTTTCAATTCTTCATCATCAAAGATATAACAACAGTGAGTGAAACAACTTCCGGTCACGTCACACAACAGACAAGCAACGATGATTCAACTGAAAAGCAAACAATTTCAAGATAGAGGCATACCTGTAAGTAACTCATCAAACTCAAGATTATTAAACAAATGGAAAAAACGTAAACATTTGAGTTTAAAAGTTAATTGTAAAATTGAACTTGGTGTAGTCTTTACTTTAAATATTAAATATTCATAACAGGATTTATTTTACTTTACTCTTGGTGTTTATATAAATAATTCCAGAAGATAATATAGCATGATAATATAACATATTTGTCAAAAAAAGTGATCCCTCGGAAGCATTAAAAAAACAACAAAATTTCATGAAAATTGCAGAATCGGTTTATTATATTATGGTGAAATGACTTAGTTTAACGTAATTAATTTTATTTAGAATCTCTCTCAATACCATATGCATTTACGTATATATCTTCTCAAACATATTTAAAATTGTTGATTAAGAACCACATATTGCAAACACCTTTTGAATATATTTTCATATCAGCACAAAAAATAATTTACCAAATTTTACTTTGATAAAGACAAAAAAGTAAGACAAAAAAATAAAGCTCAGTGTGTAGAGGGGTAAATGATCTTTACACATAGAACGAAAACTGTCAAAATATATTTTTGCTTATAAATGATATATTCATACGTGAAATGCAACTTTTTATCGTAAGATTCAATGGACCTTTCCAGTGTTTACAGTTTTATGTAAATTTGCTAACTTGTTTTCCAATTGCTACACTGAGATAACACATAGTCACTGGTTGACCTGGTTTGCACGAAAGAACAAATGGTTATGTTTGTGATACTGTTTGTGAGCTGTTGACCTAGCAATGAATGGAAACGTACAGAGTGGCTAAATGTTCCACTACGAATAACCGGAAAGGTCCATATTGAAGTCTGCTTAAGCCGGTGCTAACGGATTTTGTTGTCATATTTAAAACGAAATAAAAGTAGTTTTATTTGTAAATAAAATTATTCACCATCAGCACAAGTGTGTAATCTGTAAGTTAGTTCTCTATAAAAATATTATTCTAATATACACGTGAGTTTTTGAAAATCTTAATCACATTTATCCAGAGGACGTAATTATAGCCGGTGTGTCAGTGTTAATTTATTGCTTCCTAAATTGGTCTCCCCTTCGGTGATTCGCAGCATGTCATATTAATAAATGAGAACGGGAACAAAGCTATAAACAGATATGACCTTTACATTAAGAAAGTCCGAAAATATATTTATAGAAGTAGTTTAGTTAACCGCTATACTAATTAAACGAATTGGAGAGTTTTGCAGAATGAAATAAAAACATATTCAACCATAAATTGCACCCTTTATAACTTATCGAAAAAATTAAGTAAATTAATAGCTCCCCTGATTATGTAAAACCGACCCTGGTGTCCCCAATTGTTTCTATTAGAAGTTGATTTCATTTTGTTTGAAGGCTGTCGGTTTTATGGTGGTTTAAGTGGAATGTTAATTTGCTGAATAATGCGACGTGGTGTTATGGGTTTATTGAAAGGAATGTAAACACACTGGTGGGTCAGACGAGGAATTTGAAACAATTCAACAAAATAGTAGATTCATCTCTTAATAAATCAATTTACAATAGTTCTTTATTTATAACCTATGACCTATGTCAAGTAGCTTTTACATCTTTGACTCGCATGAACATGATGTTAGTGAATTTCCTCATACCTTATGATACCTGTCTAAAAAAAGTCTTTCCATTGATGAATAATGGTTCAATATATCAACATGCCGTGCAAATTTATTCATGATTTTAAATGTACCATTATTTTTGTTTACGGGTATAACAAAAAAAAAAACAAACAATGAATTTGTCCTTTTAGAAATTCATCCCAAATGTTTCATTTCAGTGTATGTTCTTCTTTCAGTATTTATCCGATACTTAAAATATAGCTACTGTATCTTAAGTCAAAACTGTATCTTAAGTCAAAGGCATCAAAGGAACCATTCTTCTAAATAGATAGAAAAAATGCCTGTTATATTACAATATTAGTCTCTTTTGTTACTATTTTTATATGCTGTTTGTATATTTGTTACAATTATAATTAAAAACAAACTTTGTTCAATTTGACTACTGTATTGTATGCTCCAAAGAAAATACATTTAATATTTTTTATTTTAGCAAGCCGACCAAAGTTCATGTCGTCCGCCCATTTATCCATGATATACATGTACAATTCTGGTAAAATCCAATTAACCATTAAAAAGTTTAAATAAACATCTCTTCAGCAGATGTCTACTAGTTCATCGTCACTTGCTGCATTTCTTGCTTGGACGCCATTTGATGCTTTGCATCAATGCCTTTCTTGTTTAACATGATATACCATTTGGATGGAAACATGTAACGGACATTTTGAAAAATAAAGTCGATTTGGCTTATTTACATGTGGATTTTAATATTTTCTACAATGATTAGTTGTTGATATTTGTAGAAAGTGAGTAGCATTATAGGTGTAAAAGAAAATGTTCATGCTTTGATATTTTTTATCATCTAATATTACTTACTACGGTAGTGACACAAACAGAACAATGTTGCACTACTGACATGTCACATTAAATTTACAAGCTTTGTTTGTATTTAGATTACTTTCCTTACCAGATAGGCATTTTAGAATTTAATATCTGGCCCCTGTGTCTTGGACAGTGCATACGATAAGTATACTTATCAAATGATTCACAAAACACCCGGGATAATGTACACTAGTCCTTAATCTAAATAGAAAATGACTTCTTTGCAGAAATGATTTGGTAAGGTTTCTGTAATGAGCGCATTTTTTGCGCGGAGCTTCTAAATTGCTGCAATGAAGCAGCACTTGTACTTGTATTAAGTTTTACTTCGTAAACCGAATAGTTTCGTTACATAAAGTTTCATTAGATGACATTATATGATTTAATGTAATTAACCCATTACGTATTTATTTGAATAACAAATGTTTGATTGAAAGATTGGCTGTTGTATAAAGATATTTTGGGTGTTTAATTTCCCTGCCCTGTACCCTCTTCCTATTGTTGCTCCGTACCCTGCTGAATGCTGAGTGCCTTGCTGGTGATTATGTGTGACTGGGTAAAGTCAGCTACGTTCTCCTTTCAACGTCGCTCTTTGTTTTCAAAAGAACGCTTTTTGTTTACATTTTATTTTAAAAGCTTTCTATAGAAGCTCGAGTTTTAATATTTGATAATATCATTTTAAAGAATTCTTTATAAAATGACACAGATAATAAGATAGAAAATGGTCCATATATACATGCATGTGGTGATACTTGATATGACAATTAAGGACGATTGCTTTGCTTGATTTGTTTTGATATTTTGATTTTCGTTGTTTTAGATACACAGTTGAATTATGTAAAGTGACAAAAAATGATAAATTGTCCACTTCTGTCGGATTTCACTCACGGAATATATATTATTTAGTTTAATATCCTAAATAGTTGTATGAGGCTTATATATTGCTATCAATTCAGAATTGATCTTGAAGACATTGTTATGATAATTATAAAATAAGGCTGTAACCATGCATGTGAAAATTAAGAATGTATACTATGATTAAATAACACACACACTAACCCACTGTGTACTTCAAAATGATTAATAAAATTACCGAAGAGCGCGATTATTTGACGGATAAGATAATTTCATTTGAATATGTTTACATTCCGAAATTATCCAGTTCGCTATTCATTTTACATATCGCAAAATTTCATTTTTGATAATGAAACACTCATACCAGTCGGAAAGTTCGGCTAAAATGGCCGACGAAAGGGCCCAAGAAGTTGCAATTGTCCTCTTACAAAATCTGATTTCATTCCATAAGGGCGTGGCGCTTCGGCGCGAACGCCAATAAAAGTGGGTGGTGCTGCATGTGAAAATTCAATTGATCAGCATTCTGCTGTGAAATAGAGTAAAACGAAAAAAAGGTTTGTATAGTTCATATCATCATTTTAGTTCTTTGACACTTACTTCAAAATATATTATGTTCATCTTTGGGGTAAAATATTTTCATCGCGGATATTTTATAAAATACATTTGTATATGAAATTTTCATTCAATATGTCTCATTTGAATAAAAGAATGTACGGCTAATCTCAGCTATTATTCATAATAACCCCGGACTTAATACGGGTTGAAAGTAGTACAACCACGTGGTTTTAGATGTACATATAAACCAAGGGTGGGGTGTAATCCTTGATAATGTACCGGGATAACAAATGTATATATTTGAAATGCAAAGTAAAAGAAAGTCCATTTCGGTAAATTTATGATTAAACATATGTCTGACAATAATGTTCTATTTAAAAATGCTCACTTGTGTATAATTATAACCGACTCCGAAATATTGTCAGCGGATAGACAGCGTGTACTATAGGTTTCTAAAACCATAGTTATAAGTATGTAAAGTGTGTAGTGTTTACTTTTAAATATATATATAAATCAACTTCATTTAGATGGACTTTTACTCCTGTATCGGAATAATCTTAGCCAACAACGCCTACCATTGAATTAATATTTGTTTACATGTGTAGCTTCTTAACGTAGGTTGGACCAAAGAACCACATCCGTTCTGTGTATTCTTACTATTGTGTTTGAGGTCCTCATCCGAAGTTCGACGGAAAGGGCCGAGAAGTTGCGATTGGTAGCTTGATTGTGTCGGAGGTTGCGTACTGTGAACGTCTCCTTGCCTTGTTAATCATTGATCTAATGTTGTATAGACAACTGAATTAAAATGGACAAAACTGTTTAAACATTTGATAAGTGTTCATTTCCTTGTATTGTATCATGACAAGCATAATTTAGGTTTTATCATGCTAGAATTATGTGGGAGGACACAATTACGATTATTAACTAATACAACCGGATCTCATTTCAACTTTCTTAATTTACTTCTTATTTGTGCATCATGATGGATGTCAGTATTATAATATTATATGGATAACATCATGTTGTATATTCTTTTTCTATTCCATGGTATGCAAATTTTCATAGTTAAAATCAAACTAGTCTTATTTTTTATTACTTATTTTAATAAACTTGGTATTTAACGTATTGAATATACTAATGAGAATCGATCAAGCAAAACTATAATTGTGACATAAAATCCTCTTTTTTTTCTCCTCTCAAATCAATATTACTGTTATAATTTTTAAACGTTAGATACAAAAATACAATAATTCTTTATTTATAACCTATGACCTATGTCAAGTAGCTTTTATATCTTTGACTCACATGAACATGATGTTAGTGAATTTCCTCATACCCTATGATACCTATCTAAAATACAGTCTTCCATTGATGAATAATGTTTCAATATATCAACATGCCATGCAAATTTATTCATGATTTTACATGTACCATTATTTTTGTTAACGGGTATAACAAAAAAAAATCCTGAATTTGTCCTTTTAGAAATTCATCCCAAATTTTTCATTTCAGTGTATGTTCTATTTTTAGTATTTATCCGAGACTTAAAATATAGCTACTGTATCTTAAGTCAAAGGCATCAAAAGAAACCATTCTTCTTAATTAGATAGAAAAAATGCCTGTTATATTACAATATTAGTCTCTTTTGTTACTATTTTTATATGCTGTCTGTATATTTGTTACAATTCTAATAAAAACAAACTTTGTTCAATTTGACTACTGTATTGTATGCTCCAAAGAAAATACATTTAATATTTTTTATTTTAGCAAGCCGACCAAAGTTCATGTCGTCCGCCCATTTATCCATGATATACATGTACAATTCTGGTAAAATCCAATTAACCATTAAAAAGTTTAAATAAACATCTCTTCAGCAGATGTCTACTAGTTCATCGTCACTTGCTGCATTTCTTGCTTGGACGCCATTTGATGCTTTGCATCAATGCCTTTCTTGTTTAACATGATATACCATTTGGATGGAAACATGTAACGGACATTTTGAAAAATAAAGTCGATTTGGCTTATTTACATGTGGATTTTAATATTTTCTACAATGATTAGTTGTTGATATTTGTAGAAAGTGAGTAGCATTATAGGTGTAAAAGAAAATGTTCATGCTTTGATATTTTTTAATCATCTAATATTACTTACTACGGTAGTGACACAAACAGAACAATGTTGCACTACTGACATGTCACATTAAATTTACAAGTCTTGTTTGTATTTAGATTACTTTCCTTACCAGGTAGGCATTTTAGAATTTAATATCTGGCCCTCTGTCTTGGACAGTGCATACGATAAGTATACTTATTAAATGATTTACAAAACACCCGGGATAATGTACAACAGTCCTTAATCTAAATAGAAAATGACTTGTTCGCAGAAATGATTTGGTAAGGTTTCTGTAATGAGCGCATTTTTTTGCGCGGAGCTTCTCAATTGCTGCAATGAAGCAGCACTTGTACTTGTATCATATTTTACTTCGTAAACCGAATACTTTCGTTACATAAAGTTTCATTAGATGAAATTATATGATTTAATGTTATAAACCCATTACGTATTTATTTGAATAACAAATGTTTGATTGCAAGTTTGGCTGTGTATAAAGATATTTTGGGTGTTTAATTTCCCTCCCCTGTACCCTCTTCCTATTGTTTCAGGATTTATTTTCGGAGGTGCAGAGACAGATCAAACTGATTGTAAAAATGGGCCCAAATATGACGCCTGTGGTATGATTGATTTTTTTCCATAAATTGAAATAGAATCTCTTCCTTATTTAAAGCTACAGCAAGTTATTTTTGAACCATGTAATATGCTAAATTTGCAGTTCCGATGGATTTAATGTCTTTCTTTATTTTCAATATGTGATAGCATATCAACTATATTTCTTCTATTTTACTGTATGTTATGGAATTATAACACCCATTTTCCTTATTTGCAGACATTAACCTATACATTTTACTACTCTTAATTTGCACTGTGTAATAAAAATTTGTCTGAACATTTCTTCTTATGTGAACAATGTATTGGCTAACCAAATACATGCACTTCTCCCTCGAAGTATACATACGATATACGTATTTTTCCAACGTAACTGCTACTTCTCCATAATTAACCACATATATTCATCATATTTGCACTATAATCTATTTCTTGATTGACGCGGAATGTTAGCATATACCAGCTGTAGCTTTTTGTTTTCATGTGTTATAATGTCCTTGCTAGATCTATTATTCTGTGTTTTCAGTACGTAATCATGTACAGACAATCTCTTTGTTTTCATATGTTAAGATGTACTCTGGCTTTTTTTCTGTTTTCAGTGTGTAAAAATGTACTGGTGATTTTTCTTTGCTTGCAATTTGTAATTTTGTTTTAAAACGTTTTTTTGGATTCCAGTGTGTAATTTTGTCCTGGAAATATCTGTCGGCTTGCAATTTATAATTATTGCCTGAAAATTTCTCATGGCTTGCAATATCTAATTGTGTCCTGATAATTTCAGTTCACTTGACTTGTAATATGTAAATGATAAATCAGCAATATCTCTTCGTATTAAGTATTTTACCATTTGCTGGTATTTTTTGCTTGTATCCAAAATGCAATGATTTACTGGCAATTAATAAATTGATATATACGTAATTATGTACAAGGTACTTGTATTTTTCAGTTGTTTAATTATAATACTGGTAGTTTCTCTTGTTGCAGTATGAAATGTTGAAATGACATTTTCTCTTTGTTGCAGCTCACAATGTTGAAAAGGCAATTTCTCATTACTAGCAGAATGTAATGTTGAAATAGTTATTTCTCTTGATTTGCAGGATGTTATGATTTACTGGTTATTTGTCTTTGTTGAAGTATGTAATGCTAAATTGACGAATTCGTTTTGTTGTCATTATGCAATATTGACATGGCAATTTCTTTTTAATGCAGTATGTAACATTACACTAGATGTTTCTCCTTTCTTTAGCGTGTTGTACTGGCTATTTGTATTTAATTTTAATATGTTAATCACGTGCTTCTTTTTTTTTTTTTTGCTTTCAGTGTGTAGTGGTGTACCGATTGATCCTCCATATGGCTCTATTGAGCTTGTGGACCAGACACAAGGAACGTATAAATGTAATAAAGGCTTCGCTTTAAAAGTCTACGCAATAATTCGATGTCTTAAGGGAGGGAGAGACAGACCAAATTATTGGAATGAATCCAAAAGTGCTTGTACAGCTATAGGTAAAAGATGTTATAAAAAAGAATTAAATTCTAGTTTCGAATGGCAATGGCTAAAAGTGATTGGAGTTAATACAATTCTAACTGAACAAATAGAATAATGATTTATTTAGGGGCACCAAGAAAAAGTATTTATTCCGAAAATTTTCACGGTCTCGTTAACCATAAATTTTCTCTGTATGCTTCCCCTGTTATATTTTAATTTATAACATCATGATGTAAAACATTCCTTAGTTTGAGCACAACATTTGAGGGAAATACATTGGGGTTCAGGCGTCGATTAGAATTTGTCTTACAACTAACATGAAATGAAATGTATTAAATAAAAAATATTATAAATACAATCAATGTAGGCAATCGGAATTGCTTTATGAAAAGCGTTTTATTTATGAAATCTTTTTAAGAGCTTTAGGTTGTAACCTTCATATGTCGACATAATCTAATAGTAGCAGGTGTCATGTTTTAAAAACATCGTAAAATTGTCACACTGTTTATCAAAGTTTTCTTGAAATCCTGACATTAAATACTGATGAAGAAAAAATAGAAATCAACATGAAAAAAAATGATATTCATTATTTAAAAAAATTAAAAAAAAACATTAAACAGTAACTTCAGAAAAGGGCATTTGAAAATACTAATGCATCATTTAAAACAAAGATTATCTAAACAACTTGTCATTCAACTGATCACTCAAAACATATTTTTTCCTTACACACAATTGCTGATTTTAAAAACTTATATCAACTGATTCTTTTGTCTATGGAATAGTAGGAAAGTACGATTTTGTTTTTGATGATGAATAAAAATAAATGATGTGATTCGGATTGCCTTCGATTCGGATTGCCTACACTTACTGTAATATATATTTCAGGTTTAAACGACATATCGGCTACCCTAAGTTTACAAGTTTATATCTTTAATTGTGAAGGATAACGTTCAAAGTACCTGTATAAAAGAAATATGTTTATCTATTTGTTGACATTGTGAAATCTCAGTAACTTAAAATATCCTGTCATGTTTTGGTATTTCCTCTGTTTAAAATGTCATGCTTCCTCATTTACAGACGACTGTAATCCCTCTCCATGTTTTAATGCAGATATATGCATTGATGAAATTGAGGACTATACATGTTTGTGTTTACCTGGATATACAGGCAAAAACTGTTCTGAAAGTAAGTTAAATATGAAACATAAGCAACACTTTCGTTATTTGTCAGAAAGCGTACAATCATTCTGTTAAAATTTTAAAAAAATATATTTTACAGTTTCGTATATCTCATTTAAATTAGTATCAGGCTTATTGAAGCGATAGTGAAAGATTCTAATCATTTTTATTTTATCTCATTTCGCAACTTTATTCCATCTCATTATTTTTTTACTCTTACTTCTGTTTTTATTTTCGCGTATAGATGTAGCTCAATGGATTGAAATGGTGTTTTACAATAAGGTATACACATTCCATACACGTTGGTGGGTGTTTCTTTATTAGTGCATTTATTGTTATATTTATATTTCATTTTATCAATATTATAAATTGCATAGATCTTTTTTATATACGTTAAAATGTGAGTCATTGTTTCAATAATTCACAATTAAATGTTATACTGCTCTAAAGAAATAATCAGTTCAGTCAAAACAGAACCATCTTCTATAAAGACAACAAAAACAACAGCATCCAGGCAGCCTGTAATGACTTCAACTGTAATTGCTACTTCAATTTCAGGTACTAATTATTATTTTATCAACACGACATACTTGTTTTCCTTGGTATATTCTGTTTAACATGTTTTTTCTCGGTTTACCAAATTATGATGAATACTATAATATCCCGATGAACAGGAAATGTTATTTTTATTCTTATTATCTACGATTATTTTCTTAAGGTTATCAGATTTAATTAAAATTAATTAAGATTTCATTTTAAGCGCTTTAATTAAAAATGTCATTGATTTATTACAAAATTATTTCCTATGGTATAATTTCTTTAACAAATACAACAAACATTGACACATCCTTTTATTTCCAAATCTTTGTGGTAATATGATAACAATACTTCAAATGTTGGGTAGAGTGACTTGCTTTCTTTGATAATGACAAATATATTTTAGAATATAGTTATCGTGAAGTAAACACACATCAGTAATCCACGATATAAAACATAGTGTGAGAGTCACCTTTGTTTACGTACATTTTAAAACTCTTATAATTAAATTCAATTTATAAAAGTACTTTTATATTGAACTTCATTCAAAAGTTATAAAGAGACTATTGGGTCGCTGGTTTGAACATAGGACGAGGCGAAATTTCTTCATAAATTTATCTCGGACATTGAAACTATTGGTGAGTGTTTTCTTATCGCCAGTTCACTTTCGAAGAAGCTATTTATCAAGGAAAGCTGGTTACGTAGATCTACCGCCAAGATATAACTAGAATGTGTTACATTCCGTTTCAAAACCAGAATAAAAACACACACAAAAATGTGATTGCAATTATATACATATTTATCTAAACATTTCTCCCATAAAAATCAATCTTACGTAAAATGTCTTAACATTCTAAATCTATTTATAACATTAACAAGCACTTTTACATACAGTAATACTTGCTATCATGATATTACTGAGTGATACCTTACGATGTTTAATTATATATTCTCCTTACTAAGTCACTGGAGAAACAGACTTAGATACCGACAAAGAAAGTCCAGTTTACATATGGTACATTGTAGGAGCAACTGTAGTCTGCATTTTAGGCATTATACTTGTTGTAGCTGCAGTTCGAATTGTACGCCGGTAAGTTTGCTTCTCCTTTTCTCTAAAATTTAATTATATGAAATGTTAAAATATAATAATTCCATTCTTGTTTTCAAAATGATATAGGAAGTTCTATAAATGTGTAAAAATGTGTCTGTGTACGATTTTAACTGAATAGATCTAATGAAAATTATTAAGGATGCATATTGAGAAATTTTGCATGTTAGAGTCTTCTGGTAGGTATCTTTGAATTAGTATTGTTATCTATAATGATATAAAACACACATTTTTACTTTTATTTCCTCTAAGCGCACGGTCACGGTTATAGCAGAGTTGATCAAACCAATAATAGTTGTTATAATGTCTCTACCATGTGTTATATTAAAGATATATCTATATTAAATAGTTGACACTTTAGTGGTTAACACGTCGCACTTATAATCTGAGGATTGCTGAACGCATCAGTTTAAACCTCGATAGGGGAATCAAGTTGTTTTCGTGAGCAAGAAACACATTGCTTATTTCCTGTTGGCTCCAGGAACTGATTCGAGTGTGTTTCAATAAGCATACGCTTATAACTTCTATCACAATCAAATATAATAAAATAAATTCGTATTAACTAGATAAAATACTGCAAATACAAAAACAAACCAAAAATGTACTATTTGAAAGTTTGGGTACTTTGTGATGCCATGATTATAATTTTTATATACATTTATTTTCTTTATTTGTGATCATTACGCGTACATATACACATTGTTAAAAGGGCACTATATAAAATCTTTACATGTTATATATTTTCTTAATTACAGTAGAAGAAGACTTGCCACAAAACAAACACCAGATCGCAATGATGATACTTCTGAACAAGTTCCAGAATATACTGAACTAGACATTACACAGGCAAATTCTAATCCGTACTCAGCACTAAGTAAGATCTCAAACAGATATGCCAGGGACAAAATTGATTCAATGAATAGTGATGCAGCTTACTTAACGCCATGTGCCTCTACAAATCCAGATGTTTCTAACGAATATATTAGTATTGATGCTTAAGAAATTCTTGGAAGATTGAAATACAAATATCTATTGAATATATTTAATGTGTCAAATACTCCATAGCACATTGTTAGTTACGTTGATCTTTGTAAATATCTGAAATGTGCATTGATAGAAGGATAATTATTTTTTGATAGTAAATGTGAACTTATTAAAATATACATATTGAGAAAAGCGATGATACAAGTGACAGACTTCTTTCTAAAATCAAAGGGCTGCAAGCTCTGTAGTATTTTCTGATCTTTGCAATTTAAATCGTACTGAATATCTGTATGTATTTTCCTTTATATGTTTATTTTTATATACTATAATTCATCTTGCATGGCACCAAGATGCAGCGACTGCGTTTAGATCTTTTTACTATAATAGTTTGAGTTTGATACATACGGAATTTTTCATGACTATAGTTGCATCTTTCATTTTTTATGACAGCTGCACTTTATCCTTGCATGTCGATGCTACTTCTTAAAATAATATATATATAAAAAAATTGTTGCCTCGACTGGGATTTGAACCCCAGACCTCTCACACCCTAACGGAACGCGTTACCCCTGCACCACGGGGAAGTTAAACGAGGAAAGCCTGAATAAAATTAAATAATTCTAAATTTAAAATTTCCATTGAGGGTTTGTAATCTTTATTTATTTCGAGGTATTTTGTTCATGATAAACCTATTGTGTAAAACTGATGTAAGTAATTTAGAGAAAAACGTCTCGCCAAAACAGCTCGAATTATTTGTGTAATACGGTAGTCGACATCGTTAAAAATGGCATTTTGTTGATTTGGATTAAATTTTCGGGTGTAGAAATTGATTATCGATCGTTGACTCCCCTAAATTTGTCCCTGTCCTAAAGTCAACATAACATCCTTACTTTATTTTTCAGAAAGTCTAAATACCAAACGTTCATTTAGGAGGAGTTTAATTGCGATCCCATTAATCCGAATCTTTACGGAAATAGTCGAGCAATTTTAATTGATTAAAATGATATTATCCGCGTAATTTGGGATTGGGCATTTATTGACAAGTCTATAAGCCAACGCTACTTTTAAACTTTGAATGCGTTGTAATTTGTTGGATACTTGTAACAAAATCAAAATATTTCCTTCTTTTACAACGCTAGTTTTCAGCTGTTTTGAGCACTACTTGTTGTTAGGTTTGTCGTGAAGCGTTGTACCCGAGATTGAATGTAAGCATTGTATTTCCTGACCTGCGATCAGAAAATACAAGAAGTATGTTATTACTCTTGGCAAGCAGAAATTAGAATGCAAGGATAAAGATGCGTGTAAAATATCTATATTTGTCTTAAGAGAACTAAAATATCACAGATTTGTGAAAATCATCTTCTTTACATTGATTCATAGAAAGTAACAAAAAGCCAACAATTGTCAAAATGTAAATGTATTACGCAACATAGTATTTTTACTGTAGACAATTTTTCAAAGTCACTTGATATATCTACACACATTCAGCATTTGAATAAATAAAAATATACGATTAAATCTCAAAGTGTAAAGAAATAAAAGATATAATGCCGGATTTTTATTGGTAATAAATAAATATTTTCGAAGCGAATACTTATGTATTATCTTAATATCATATTAAAATCAGGTGTTTATCCTAAATAATGGTGACAGGGGTTTATCGCCCCAATACATACCAAAGGTGATCATAATAATCCCTTAAATTTAAATCGATTAAAACCACATCCTTATTAATGCTACGCATTAGGATCTGACGATGACCATAGGAGGTCTCATTCTCGTGACCTTTCTATCAGCCAATCATTGTCGAGTTTTAACAATTTTGAAAGTGCGAGGTGGTTTCTAATTTTAACCGCTGTTACACCACGGTTATAGGGCGTTTACCACAACTTTTCCGCGCAACAGCAAAATATCATACTTCTGACCGAGACACCGTATATTTCTAGACAAAATATTTATGGCGGGATAACCATATTGCAGGTAATACCTTACAAAACATCTTACTGCTGGACGTTGCAAAATTATTCCAATTGTTTAAGTACTCCATCGAATTTTTGAAACAATTGATCGTTAATCTAGCACAACACAATTCACAAAAAATTAGATACATGTACTTCGAAGAAATAGTGTTTACAAAAGATCGTGTCTACCTCAACATGACTCGTACTTCGTCACAAAAACATGTGTTAAAACGACGATGTATTTGTTCTATAACCTTATGAGCTCGTGTATACATTATTGTTAGGCATAAATTCAAGTTCCATACAAAATTGTGTGTTTCTATTGTAAATTTTAGGGAATATATGTTGTTAAAAGGCCTATTAACTCGAATATTGGAGCACCGTACAACACTGAATTCAAACACCGCATTCTTTTTCCGTTTGACCGATTTATACTGGAACCGTTTTCACCATACTATATAAGTAACTGTTAACTGGCCTGCTGTTATGTTATGTTTCTGTTATAATCATATGTTATTTTATAGAAAACTTCTGAAGGTCTGGTCTATGTAAATAATACCAGTTAGGTATGTCAATGGTATCTATATAGATCAGTAAGTCGATATCTTTTCTTTTTTCGAACTTATTCAAATATGGAAAGATCATTCTTCGATGAGGTTACCAAGCATTGTGTTGTGGAAAGTGTTTCTTTCAATAATCATTTCCCAGGAAAATGCAGGTCATGGTCTGATAACATTTGACAGATTTTTACCCTTTGAAGAAATGTTCCGTTTCCGTTCATTATCTCCCCAAAAACTGTACACATTCAACTCAAAATTGACAAAAGTCATATAAATTTGTGATGGGAATACGTAGATCAAGTTCAAATTTGGTCATGATTCGATTATTTTTGAAAGAGTTATGACCCTTAGAATGATTACAACAATTCAATTATGTTATTATAATCAAAAGCACAAGAGGAATTCAAACCTGTGATCTGTATTTATCTATTTTTTGAGACTCACAAGTCATATACTTAAAAGATAGAGAAAATAAGAATCCCCAAAGAAAGCTCAACACGACAAATTTGAAAATGTTGCAGGCTCGGTTTGATTGAGCCTGTTCATGGACGGTACTGTCAAGTCCAAACTACCGTCCACTCACCTTAGCAACGGCTTAAGCAGAATTCAACATTAAACATGAACTTGTAAAGTTTTTAATTTTGAAACATCCGCAGATGTGTTCATATGGAACCTTCAATGTGAAAATACATTCCAAGAAAAGCGGCATATGGCCCAACTACAAAGTAGCGTACATTCAAATTACAAGGAGTTAACTCAGGAGCTCAACAATAGATACCGGTTCATAGAGACTGCAAAGACTTTTGCCAGTAAATTTGCTAGGAGGACGCAGAAGGCTGGGGAAACAGCGGACGAGTATGCTGCTGATCTGAAAAGACTCTACGATAAAGCACAACAGAATAGAGATAGGTACACAAGAGAAGATCTACTGCGTAAATCTATAGATGGACTTAATGATGATGAGGCAAGGTTTCATGTAGAATATACCAAGGAACCTAGTGACATTGATGTGGCAGTGTCACAGGTGGTAAACAACGTTTATAGTCGTAAAAAACATAGTAATAGATAGGCACCATGAAGGAAGAAATAACAGACGGGGAACACGAATAGCACGAGAACTTGATCGAGACAGTGAAGATGAAGATCAGAACAGAGTCAAAACTACCTCAGGTGGCCCAAAAGAAGGAAACGGCGAACTTAGCAAAAGGAAACAGACTGCCTTGTTGGATGACCAAAATGTTACCACGAATACTGAATTCGAAGCCCTGAATAACTCAAATTAAAGAAATGGAAATGAAACTGAAGAAAGTTGTAGAGACAAACAAGAGTCGTGACAACGTTAGGAAAGATAGAAAATCAGACGTTACTTGTTTCAACTGCAGACAAAAGGGATACTTTTCGAGAGATTGCCTCAAGAGACGACCAGGATACGGGAGATACGATGGTCGTGGAGGCCAAGGGAGAGACATTGATAGGGGAGACAAGCGTTATGCACGAGGTTTATATGGGTGGTTCCAATATTCCTACTTGAATAATGTTGAATCACCCTTAGGATATGTTGCCTGCTTTATAAATTTGTCTTTTGACGTCTTATCTGTGATATGCAGGCTTCATAACCTCAGATTCCCTTTCAAAATTCCATTTTATTTCGTTCCGCCCATTGTTTTCTAGTTTAGGGCACACGCTTTCTTTAACTTGGGGAAAACCGTCTCCGTGGTCGAGGGGTTAGAGTCGATGACTTCTAATCCAGTTACCTCTCTGGCGTGGGTTCGATCCCCGGGAGATGCTTTGGTAGTTTAGCGCGGAGGAAGGTAGTCTAGTACAGGTGTAACTCTCCAGGAACGATGGTTAGGAAACTACCCGCCTATATGACTGAAATAATGTTGGAAAAAGGCGTAAAATGAAACAAACAAACAAACAAACAAACAAATTTAACTTGGGGACCATACGCCGCTTTTCATGGACTGACACTACTGTGTCACATTGAAGGTTCCATGATAACCGCCGTATGAACACATCTGCGGATGTTTCTAAATTCAAAATTTTACCATTTTAGTGTTTAATTGTTGAATTCTTCTTAAGCCGGTGCTAGGGGGCGTGGACGGTAACTTGCACTTTCCAGTACCGTCTATGAACAGGCTCAATCAAACCAAGCCTGCAACATTTTCAATTTTGCCGTGTTGGGCTTTCTTTAGGGATTCTGTATTTATCTATTTTTTGCTCATCTATAGTGATGACGTCGAAGTGTTTGGCACTGATGATCACATTAATAAAGTGGACAAAGTACTACAGGGAATAGGCGAAGCGGGACTGAAACTGAAACCAGAGAAGTGTTAGGTGCTACATAAGGAGGTGACATTTTTGGGACACGTGGTATCAGGCGAGGCGGTACGGCTTAATGCCATGAATATAGAAAAGATCTTAAACTGGCTGAGACCGAAGAATGCCCGTGATGTTAAGCAGTTTGTAGCTTTGGAAAGTTACTACAGAAAATTGGTTGAAAACTTTGCGAAGCGTGCAAGGCCTATTGTGGAACTTACTAAGAAGTGAAAGAAGTTTGAGTGGTCAGCTTACTGTGAAGGATCATTCCAGCATATAAAATCAGCATTAGTGAGCCCATATGTGATGGATGGGGTATCCGTCGAATGATGGAGGAGAGTTTGTCTTATCACAGATGCAGGGGGTACGTGAAAGAGTCATCGGGTATGCAAGCAGGGCATTCAACAATGCCGAAAGGAAGAACTGCTGGCAATACGGTACTTTGTAGAGTACTACCGTCAGTCTCTCTTAGGCCGTAGGTTGCGGGTTCGAACAGACTATAGGGCGCTGGTGTATCTTTTTGAGTTGAAGGAACCACGCGGAAAAACAGCAAGGTGGTTAGAAATACTGACTCAGTATGATTTCTGGATTGAATACCGGCCAGGGCACAAACAAGGCCTTTGTGATGCACACTCGAGATGTGAAACTCCAAAGGACTGCTAATGTGCAGATGTCGACATGATGGAACCGCTGAAATGTGGGCCATATAAGAAGTGCCAAAAGAGGCCAAAAAGCATGATGTTGGGTGGTTCATATACAGGAATAGTGATGGCCCAGCCTGATCTTGCGTCAAGTAGTGAGAAGGAAATCACTGAAGTATCACTGAAATAACAGAAGCAGTGCGCAGTGCAAGGCAAGACGATAAGGACATAATAGTAACACCCACGACCACTACAGAAAAGCTGCCTGAACAATGCCTGCAGGGAATTCTGTCAGGATATACCGTGGTGGAAATTAAAAAGAGTCAGGAGGACGATCCAGATGTCAAGGTGGTGCTAGACGCAAAGTCTGAGGGGAAAAGGCCATCACACCGAAACATCGCTGTAATGAGTTCAGCAAGTAGGCATTATTTCTTGTTGTGGGATGCAAGAAGCAAGATGGTACAGGACAGCACTACCAGATAATAGTACCACGAAAAATTAAGAAGCATGTGCTCTTCCAAATGCATGATGCACCGATGCATGTCATGCCGGCTACCTGTGATATATTCTTATTTCAAGCCGTGGTAATGCGATAACATGATAATTTTGAATCAGCTATGGAACCTCGTAAGTTTGTCGTCCATGGGGCAATTCGAAAGTGTGACCGACATTGCTGAAGAAGATATTCCAGCATTATAGTAAACCCGCGTGTGGTCTTTATTTATTTTCAGATGACAGAGTGTATGGTTCTGGCAGCTAAGAATTGAGGACGGGCCTAGAGATGCCTCCATTGTCCTAGGCTTGGGCGTCCTGACTGTGTCGCAGAGAGAGGTCGCATTGAATCCCATATCTACAAGCATCACGTCCAGTTGGACCGTGTACCATATAGCTGCAGCCACTGCATGTTTCATTGTACGAGTCAGGAACAGTTTGACCGCCATCTTACGAACTATGCCTGGCACGAACAGAGAGGGGATGCCGTAGTAAATGTAAGACCACTTGTTAGTACTGACCCTATATTTTATGTCAAAAGGACATTGAACAGCTGAGCAAAGATGAATCTCTA